GGTTGTGAGAAAAAAAAAAAAAAAAAAAAAAAAAAAAATGGTGTCTGCCACATGTGAATAGCCTTACTCACCTTAATGAAAATACTCACAGACTAAATGTTTAACAGGTCCTTTTGAGGGGGCAGAATAAGAACTTTGAATTGTACAGGCTGTTGCAGGCAGAAACCTTGTTGTGATAGGGGCTAGGGCCCCGATTTGGCACAGCAGAAATAAATACACACAAAGAAATTAACATTGAAATGTGATGTTCAGCTTGTAAAATCAGGCCTTTGGAAACCTGGAAAACTAGAAAAAGCACAGGCCTGTCACACTCCAAAGCTGGGGCAGGGGGTGGGGTGCGTTGGAGAATGTATGGTCTGGTCAGCGGCAGGAGCAAGTGCATTTTGTACACAATCCCACAGGTTAGGAACCATTTTACAATTGTGTAATGTGCTGTGGCTCTGACACCTGGGGTGGGGGTGAGCATCCAGCCCAGCATGCCCTGCTGGGAATATTTTTTTTACTTTTCGGATTTTCTTTCCCCCCTCCAAACATGAGTTCATCATACGGTACATCAGTATCCTGCAGTTGGCCAAAGTCTGCAGTCTCCTTACTGGATTTGCAGTTGCAGGAGTATCAGGCAGGGAGGGAGTGTGCTTGGACTTACACTTTTTGGTTTTGGAGGTAAGGACATGAGGAGCCACCATTTAGTAGAGAGCAAGGACACATTTGGTGGTTAGAAAGATAGCTAACCACCACAGGGAGTGATTAAAAAGTGCTAACAAAAGTGGAAAAATGGAAGGATGTGTACCTGAGTAGGCAGTTACAGCAGCTGTGGGAAGGAGATGGTGTTGAGAAGCATTGCAGTGTGGGATGCCTGAAGGCGGGCAATTACTTTGGGCACAGGGCTGCTTACTGAGTTTTGGCAAGCCGTTGAGGGCCGCATGACAAACAGCCCAGGGCAGGTTAATTAATTTTCTAAGTTTTTTTAGGGGCCCTGCAGGCCAGATGCAATGGCCTGGCAGGCCACATTTTGCCCACCCCTGGTCTAAACAGACCTGTGTCACTGAACACTTGGTGTTCACGTAGTGACACCAAGTTCAGCCAGCTCAAAATAGTACTTGATTTTCCAAGTACGTGTTTAAACTGTTCCAGGCATCTTCAACCAGTTTAGCCTGCTCCAGTATGCCTGCCTGTCTGCCTGCTCCAGGTTTACAACACATGTAACCATTCTAAGTGTTGTGTGCCCATGCCTTGAAAGGTTGTAGCTGTTAATTCTCTACTGAGCTTGTGTGAGTTATTTTTTTCCCCCTAGAGGTTTTAGAATTTGGCTGAATTCAGGCAGATTTTTCTTGGAAATGGCAAAAGATGCATCTTTGACACACCCCTCTGCCAAATTTCAAGCCCCTGTTCTAATACAGGAAACTGTTAGAAAATTATGGAAACCTTTTCTTTAAACACGCGTGAAATGACTTAATTGTTCCTAAACCTTTTCTCACAAATGGCTTAATGGGTTTGACTGAAATTGGGGGCAAAGGGAGGGGCGGGAGGATAAAGATTAGCCTGGAGCAGAGGCAGAGAATTTCAGCCTGAACAAATGAAAGCTACAAGTAATTGAAAACAGGAATAATAATGGAAAGAGTTAGGCTGCCTTACTAGTGCTTGGTGCTGCCAGCCTTATCTATGAATATTAAGAAATTTCACCTTTTTTATTACAATTAACTCATGTATTGAATTCTGTCCATCCTACCAGAATTCTAGGCTTCAGAATATTTATTGCAGTATTCAATATTGTGTTAATTTGCAGAATGTTGTCCCTTTCTGTTCCCCACCTCACTCAGCCTAATTGCATGGTCTGTGTACAGTAACAGAATAAAAACATCTGAAGTTCAAGGAATTCCAAGAAGCACGTGGGTGATTGCTCAGGGAGCTATTTCCATGAAGTTCATATTAGTTCCTCCTTACAACCCCACCTTTGCCTTAAGCTGTTTTGTTTGAACTGGAAACTTTTAACATTGTTCATAACACTGAAGCTATTTTCACTGCTCTGTTACTTACTGCTAAGTATCGGTTATTTCATTGAAGACCAGTTCTGTATTCATACTTGTTTTACTCTTAACCCTCTGGATTCTACTTCTGAATTCTGTCACTGGGTATGATTTTGATGGCCTTCGTTTGAGGATGCAGTGTAACATAATAAATATTGCTGTTCTTGAAAACTGAATTACTGTACAGTGATATCCAAGTTAAGCAGTAAATAATTTTTCACCAAAACACAGCCCAGTACCCTGCTATGCTGTCACCAGTCTTTTGCAAGTGGACCCACCACAGGGTCTCCTGTGCTACCAGCTGTGTTCTAGTCACTGTATCAAGTTCTGAGTCTGTAACATAACTCTGTTTTCCAGGGACATGTTGAATTCTCAGTCCAGTCTTCCCCATGCCTAAAACCAGTGCCTGTCATCTCAACACCATCCCAGCCACACTTGCCTGTGCTTCTCTCCTCAGAGTCCCAACTAGGCACATGTGGGTACAAGATTGCAGGAAAGCAAGGAACACAGGCTTAGCAGAGGGTCAGCTAACCCTTAAATGGTGTTACAGAACTATGGATCTTTGCTAAAAACAGAAGTCCTGAGACACCCTCATCTAGTATACTCTTACTGTATGAGTGAGTTATAGGTTAGGGAAAATCTGCTTTCTCCCTTCCTCCCTGCATATACTTCTGTGAGTGATGGTGGTCTACTTCCCATTTCAGAGGAGCATTCCTGCTTAAGCACTGTATAGTTGTCCTTTTGTCAGGCTCAAACTGAGAAAATGATTCAGCATTTATACACGTGCTTCCGAAGGCACTTTAATTAGAGTGGCTCTAAGAGCGACTCTAATTAAAGTGCCTGGAACATCGCACTTACAAGTGTCCCTGTGCTGAAAGATGGCAGTGGGAGTGCTTTAACTAAAGTTTGTTGAACAAGCTTTAAAGCACTCCTGCTGTCATTTTTCAGTGCTGATACACATGATACTGGAGTCTGCTAGAGCAGTGGTCTCCAAAGTGGGGTGCATGCACTGTGATCCATTGGGGTGCAGGAAGAAAATATTAGAACTTCTATTTCTATTTATATAAATATACATATATTGGGGGTGCGTGCTCAAAAATTTTTTACTGATAGGGGTGCGCAATCAAAAAAGTTTGGATTAATTGAGTCTGCTCCAATACACTGTAATTACAGCATATTGGAGCAGGTTTGCTGTATGTGTATTAGGTGCCCATTGTTCCTCATTTGGGTCAGCAGTTGAAAGCCAGTGTTAATGGCCCTAGATTGCTCTGCCAGGACTTAACCAAGGTTAGGCCATCAGTGAGGCTTCAAGTACTTTTTTTGGTAAGGTAACTATTGCCTTGTAGAAGGTCAGACTTTATTTTCAATGCACAGCAGAAAGTGAAGGTTATGGTACCAAATAGAATTTGTAATCTGGTACAAGCATGTTTTCACTTTGCCATATGCTCTTCTAAGGGTTTTGAGACAGAAAATTCTGTGCTGTCAGGGCTTTAGCCACACATACTTTGTGAGGTAGTAAGGGCACTAATTCTTCGCCCTTGAATGTAGCCATTCTTCCAAAACAGTTGCCTGATTTATGTCTTTCTCTTACTGAATTGACCCTTTCTGTTCACTTACTGTTCTACCATATACCTGTAATCTGTACTTTCTGAAAACAGATTATTTAATGTACAGTGATTTAATGAGAGAGTACATGCATCTTCCTGTACATTAAGCAACCAATGCAAATGTACACAGTGCTTAATTGCCTCAAGCCACAATCCTACAAATACCTCAGCACATGGTTAATTTTAAGTGGTGTGGATTTAATACCCTTCTGCATAGAGTTTTACGACATCTCAAACATTATGCTAGAATAGCCAAACAATTTTTATGAGACGCAAGAATTTTTACAGGTGATATTTTTTATTAGACAAACATTTGAATGCAGAAACTTGTTCTTCTGGGACCTTCGTATTCTAGAAACAATTTTGCTTTTTGTCCCAAAACCTTTTGCATTACTTCTAATTGTCCAACTATTCCAGTTTCTCAAAATGCCATAGCACACAATGTGCTTTAAGTTTCATATCGTCATTTGTGACCAAACTAGGCATTTACATAAAATTGCTAGTTTTACATTGAAAACAAGTAAGGGATACAGTTTTATTGAAAATACAATGAACTGTGTGTTCACCAAGCTTATGTATTCAGTAAGTGTACCTACAGTAGTTGTTAGTTTCTGGCAGTGTTTGATGCTGAAAAGAAGAGACACAAATCTGTTTTAAGTTAAAGCTTAGGTTTACTAGACATTTTTAGGTCTTCAAGAAACAGGTTGAGTGTAAGCCAACACCCAAAAAACTATGGTAAAATTCATCAGTAAATTCATCAGGACCACTCCATCCAGTCCATAACAACTTATTTTAGAAGAAATGTTTTACCTCCAAAACGAAGCACCCTGACAAAGTTGTATTTGGTTTCTGATGTCAAAACCTTTGAGTTTGATTTTGTTTTTGGTTATGCCACACTCTTACTACCATGTCTTCTATTTTCTTTTCTTTTTTCAGGGCTGATTACTGGAAATCGCAACCAAAGAAATTCTGTGATTACTGCAAGTGCTGGATAGCAGACAACAGGCCTGTATGATGATCGCTCTGCTGCACATTATTAATTATGATTGAAACACTAGGATTTTGAATGACATATATTTTTTATAGTTTCATAGTTTCTAGGGTCGGAAGGGACCTGAGAAGATCATCTAGTCCGACCCCCTGCCATGGCAGGAAATAGTACTGGGGTCAAACGACCCCAGCAAGGTG